AGAGTTCCTATTTACACCTTGTGGCTAATTGTGCTCCATATGCTTATCTAGTTCCCTCTTGAAGCCGTCCATGCTTGTAGCCGCCACCTCCTGTGTCAGTGAATTCCATGTGTTAATCACTCTTTGGGTGAAGACGTACTTCCTTTTATCTGTTCTAACCCGACTGCTCAGCAAGTTAATTTGAGTCTCTTGGGGAACTGGAGATTCTAGGGTGTTAAGAGAACATTGAGATGTGTAGGCCAAAGGCCCAGTGCTTGTCCTATTCACGCCCATGACCTTTTCCCATATGCTTCGGACTCTCAGACAAGACTGTTCGTCTTCCTCCTCTTCGCATCCAGCTCTTCTTCGCCTCTTGAGTGAACTTGTCTTTTCAGCCCTAGATCGGCAAGGGTAGTTCACGAATGTCTCGGCTCTCCTCAGACTGCATCAGACAGCGGAATGTCTATTGATCCCTCACCGGTTCTCCAAAGCGGAATGCATGACTCTGCCTTTGAATCAGCCCTTCAGTTCACCAAGGTCAGTATCGTCTACTCGGACTGGCGGTGGCTCTCCCGGGTCTCAGGGCAGAGGTCTTTCCACATCACTTCCTACCTGATCCTGTTCGCTGGAGATGCCAGGGATTCTAATCTGGGACCTTCTGCATGCCAAGCAGATGGTCTACCACCAAGCCACTAAAAGATCAAAATAAGTCTGCACTTAACCCGTCTTGTTCATGAAAGCTGAGTTTATGCCTCTCCTGCCCCTGAGGCAAAGGGTGTGAGACAGAGAACCTGAGGAGTCAGCAGTATGAAAAAATATGGGCAGAGTGATCCTTATAGACAGGAACTCTCAGTCTGGGGCAAGGGATGCTCTGTATCCTTGGTGCTTGGGGGGGGGCAACAGTGGGAGGGCTCCTAGTGTCCTGGCCCCACTGCTGGACCTCCTGATGGCACCTGGTATTTTTGGCCACTGTGTGACACAGAGTGTTGGACTGGATGGGCCACTGGCCTGATCACACATGGGCTTCTCTTACGTTCTTATGTTTTTACGTTCTTATCTGTGTTCTGTTCAGGGGAAGACACTTCTGTTTTAATTGTGCTTTTTTGCTGTGTGAGAAGCCAATGTTGGATCAGGCCAATGGCCCATCCAGTCCAACACTCTGTGTCACACAGTGGCCAAAAATACCAGGTGCCATCAGGAGGTCCACCCAGAAGTGGGGCCAGGACACTAGAGGCCCTCCCACTGTCCCCCCCCCAAGCTCCAAGAATACAGAGCATCACTTGCCCCAGTCCGAAAGTTCTATACCTTGTGGCTAATAGCCCCTGATGGACCTCTGCTCCATCTGTTTCTCCAATCCCCTCTTGAAGCCGTCCATGCTTGTAGCCGCCACCACCTCCTGTGGCAGTGAATTCCACGTGTTAATAACTGACAAGGGTTTGTCCAGCTTCTGGTTTGTTGAAGTTTGTTGAGAGACTAAACTGGAATAAATGTATACACTACAAAAGGCTGATTGCTGTGCTAATTCATTCGAGATTTTTCTCTTAATTTTCATTTAGTATGTTCTTAGTTAAGTGGCTTCTCCTGCCTATGAAATGAAATGGTCTGATGCTGGAGTTGTTGCTATCAGGGGTCATTTCGTAGAAAAAGAGGTGCAGGAGCTTATTAGCAGAACTCATTAGCATATGCCACACCCCCTGACATCACCGGAAGTGTGTCAGAAGGCAACACTCACCACACAGGCTCCACTGGACTGTTTTGGATTGCTAGCTATTGGGGGTGGGGGGAACGTGCAGATCTGTCCTTGCAGAGGAGGGAGAGCTTGTACCTGAATAAAACTTGGTCTTAAAGGTGCCACTGGACTGTTTTGGATCGAGGGCCCGGGTGGGGGGGCTCTGCAACTTACCTGGCTGCTTCTTGGTCTGACTGAAGGCTGCTGGGAGCAGGGGGTGGGGCTTGTTTCATGTGCCCGCCCCCTGGGCTCTTTACTGCCGGAACTCTGCTCCTGTGCGCTCCTGCAGGAAATGACCCCTGATTGCTATTAAAGTTAAAAGTGGGGGGCAGGTGGGACTCGGGGGGGGGGATCCCATTCTGCTCCTGGTTGCTAAGACCAGTGTGGCTCCACGCCTCCTCAGTCGCCTCTGGAGCTACAGCCTTGCTCTTGGACACTGCTGCCACCATGGCCTTGAGTGACTCCTGCAAACCCCAGTTGCCGTGGCCTGGAGCAACCCCTATACCACCAGGTCTCCAGAAGGAAGGTACGCAGACAGTAGTATTTTATTTTTATTATTTTTTTTGGGGGGGGGGTCATTTAAACTCTCCAACATTTTTCTTAAATTTTTCAGATTTTCCTGCAAACCTGGGAGGGTCCCCCAAGTCTGCAGAACTACCTGTTTACAGTCAGCGTGGCCCCGATCTGCAGATTTAGATATCTGCAGATTGGGCAGTCCTTGAGTATTAGACTATAACATTTGCAGGTTGCCACTGAGGGACATGATGCTTTGCCGAATAACATAACGGTTGAAGAGCTGTCAGTCTAAATGTCAGCCGTTGGAGGGAAAATGGGGAAAGGAAAGGCAAGAAATGAACCGGTGTGGTGTGGTGTGAGACCCGGATTCAAATCCATGAAACACGCTTGATGAGTTACGGCAAGTCACCATCTCTCAGCCTGGCTTCCCCCACAGGGTTGTTGGGAGGGCACCTTGGAGGAAGGGAAGAACAAAAATGACAGAGGCAAGGGTAAAATATAAGGGAGCGAGGCCAGCAACCGCACCACGGCAACATGAATCTGTTACGCCAAAGGGAAGGAAGAGTGCCGCACAGGCATTTTAAGGCCGGGAGTCCCAAGCAGGAGGGGAAATGGGCAACCTTTTGAAGAGGGAGGGAGCGGTGGCGCAGGGAGTAACAACACCTGCAGTAACATCTATAGCGAACAGCCATAATGGCTGTTCGAATCCCCACCGCGGCTGGAGTGAGCTACCGGCCCCAGTCCCAGCTCCCGCCAACCCAGCGGCTCGAAAGTAATTGCAAGTAGAGAAATGGGTACCTGCCTTAGAGGCGGGGGGCACCCTCCTCCTGGTTCCGTGCCAGGAGGGTTGATGGTGACGATGGCAGTAAGAGAAGCAGTGGCGGCGAGGAAGAACAATGGCGGCAGCTGGCGGACCGTGAGAGCGACGACGACATCGGATCGAGGCGGAACCGGATGACGCAACTGCGGAGCGATGCGGCGCGGCTGGAGCCCGAAGGGACGAGTAGAAGGGAACGCCGCAGTCCAGGAGCAGTGCGCATCAACGGAGGGTCCATCTGCAGCCCGCTGATGGTCGCCGCTCGCCAGTATGCCAAGACTACGCCGGAGCCACCGAGTACGGAGAGAAGCCTGTCGTCCGGGTGCTGCTAGGCAACCCCTCCCTGCACAATTGTCGCCCTAGGTAGGATCTGACTACAATAATGTAGGCCACTTGTAAACCGCTCTGAGACCCAGTAGGAGTCATGAGCGGTATAGAAGTCACATGTAAATTAAAAAAAGAGGGCACTAGCCCTTCAGAAAGAAGGATTTATGATGTCCACCTCTTAGCTGGAGAAGGCACCTGTGTATCCAACAGCTAAAGCTGTATTCTCATGGCACACATTTACAGGTCAAGCCCAGTGGGGGAACATTTTAACCTTCCAGGACATTCAGCTGCTGACCGAAGAGTAGGAGTTCTCATACAAAGGAATGTCAAAGGGTGCTGAGAAAAAGAAAGTGCTGAATTTCAACTGATAATGCCCAGTGCTCTTTTTGTAGAAAAAGCCCAGCAGGAACTCATTAGCATACTAGGCCACACCCCTGACAGCACAGCTCATTAGCACACTAGGCCGCACCCCCATGTTACCAGAAGTGTGGTCATCCACCCACCTGTTGCTTCTTAGTCTGTTTACTTTGCTGTCAAAACCCAGGGCCTTTTTTTGTAGCAGGAACTCCTTTGCATGCTAGGCCACACACCCCTAATGTAGCCAATCCTAATGAGTTCCTGCTGTTGGGTGTGGCCTATTATGCTAATGAGTTCCTGCTGGGCGTGGCCAACTTGGGAGCCAGCCGGAACTCCGTTCCTGTGCGTTCCTGCCCAAAAATAACCCTGCTCAAGGCAATGCATCTACCTGGATGGAAACAAGACCTCGGTTTCCTGTCTCATTACCAGTGCTGAGTTCTCCACGCCTGCTCCCCCTCTGTATATCACATCTAATCCAAGCATGCCTGCTATTGTCATTCGCCATCTGAAATCACTTCACTTTCCAATATATACGACAGATGGACTCCCGGCTCTAGCTGTATCTAAAGAAGTGAGCTGTGACTCACGAGAACTCATCCCCTGCCACACATTTTGGTAGTCTTTCAGGTGCCACTGGACTCTTGCTCTTTTCTAGGTCAAGTCCATTGTCTTAAGAAGCAGGAGCTGCCAAGATCAGGTGATCCTAGGCAGGGGACATTTCATAGAAAAATAGGTGCAGGAGCTCATTAGCATAACTTATTTGCATATGCCACACACCCCTGACATCACCGGAAGTGTGTCAGAAGGCAACACCCACCGCTCAGGCTCCCCTGGACTGTTTTGGATTGCTAGCTATGGGATGTGTGTATGCAGAACTGTCCTGGCAGAGGAGGGAGAGCTTGTACCTGAATAAAACTTGGTCTTAAAGGTGCCTCTGGACTGTTCTGGACCGGGGGGCCGGGCTCTGCAGCTTAGCTGGCTGCTTCTTGCTCTGACTGAGGGCTGCTGGGAGCAGGGGGCGGGGCCTGTTGCATGTGCCTGCCCCTTGGGCTCTTTACTGCCGGAGCTCCGCTCCTGCGGGAAATGACCCCTGATCCTAGGGATGCCAACCTCCAGGTGGGACCTGGGGATCCCCTGGAATTACAGCTCATTGCCAGACTATTAAGATCAATTCCCCTGGAGAAAATAGATCCATAGGAGTGAGCCGTGTTAGTCTGTTGCTGCAAAATAGTAAAAACTCCAACAGCACCTTTAAGACAAACAAATATAGCACAAGCTTTCAAGAAGCACAGCTCTCTTCTTCAGATGCATGGAGGGTATGAAGAAAGTGACCAGAGATATAGAGGTGGTTACTAGTTCCAGCTCCTGCCAACCTAGCAGTTCGATAGCAAGAAATTGCAAGTAGATAAATAGGGACCACTTCGGTGGGAAGGTAACAGCGTTCCGTGCGCCTTTGTGTTTAGTCATGCTGGCCACATGACCACGGAAATGTCTTCGGACAGTGCTGGCTCTTCGGCTTTGAAACAGAGATGAGCACCGCAACCCTAGAGTCGGATTCGACTGGCTTTCGAGCAAGGGAACCTTTACCTTTACCTTTTTAAGAGGAGGGGAGAGAGAATGCAGAAAGTGCCATGTACATGCAAAGCAGTTGCAAAAATCATGAAAAAGGTAGAATGCACAATCCAGGCTGGGTGCGACCTCTTCCTTCTATTGATGAATCTGAATGGAATACCTGAGAAAATGTATGCTTTGGAGGGTGGACTCTATGGCGTGGTACCCCACTGAGGTTACTGCCCTCCCTAGGCTCCACCCCCAAATCCCCAGGAGTTTCCCAACCTGCATCTGGCCTCCCCACCCCCCACCCCCATCCTGGCAATCCTGGGTGATCCTCCCAGGCAATGCTCCCTCTAAGCTGTGGAGTCTTGTGAGCAAAAATTCTACTTTGTGAGCTCCTGGCATTAAAGCTGTGAGCGAGTGATTGGACTGCTGCATAAATTAGTCTGCTCTGGAGCCCCATCCTTCCTGAGCTAAGACAAAAAAAGCGTGAGCCGGAGGCTAAAAAACTGTGCGCTGGCTCACACTAACTCAGCTTAGAGGGAACACCAGGCCGCCTTGTCTCCGTGCAGGGAGCGATAAGATAAGAGGGAGCAGCAGCTGCCTGGCAGAGCTCACCGGAGGCTTCCTTTGCTTTTTTACTCAGCCCCCTTGCCGCGGGAGAGGCATGCATGGTGGGCGGATTATCCGGGTGCGATCACACCTCAACATCTGGGAAGTGGAGCGCACCTGTGGCTTACCGTGGACAATGCGCCTTAAAAAACCACTACCTCCAAGGTACTAGTAAACGTTTGCCACGGACTGCCTCCAGACGCCCGTGGTGTGATCGCGCCGGCACGCCGCATTCTCCTCCGGTCCCTCGTTTACCCGCCGGAGCCGAGGGAAGGACCCGTGCTGTGCCGCCGGCGCGTCTGATCGTGGTTCAAACTGTGTCGGGGCAATTAGCCACACCCCCCCCCCCCCATGATATCCAGCCTGTGTATCAGGGCTGAAGACTGCCTAGGAATCCTGGCCCACTTTGGCAGCCAGCTGCTAACAGATGAAGGCCTGGATTGCTCCTGCAGGA